CAGATAGTGAATATTCAGTGTACTTTCTTGTACTGCTGTGATTCCGGGGGTGTGTGAAATACAGAATTGTTTCGTCGAAAGCCTCTTTCACTCTTAACTATTTACTGGCCTTTGTAAATCAGCTCCTCAAACTAAGGTCATCCTTATAGCAGTGGGATGCACTGGTCATGACATGACAGCGTGCCATCTCTTGAGTCCCAAGAGTAGAAACAATGCAAGTTTTGATGAGCTGTGTTGCCTGTGGGCCAAACGTCTACGGTCAAGACACAGAGCATCTGTGTGTGTGTGTATGTGTGTATTTGCGCGCGCATGCCTGTTTGCATGTTGTATTTTGAAGTAAGCTCATTAACTATAGACCATAAACCTTTATACTCTACTTGAATAAACTCAGTGAAGCAGTCCAGGCAAGTCTGAATATTTGCAGTGAGGGCAAATACAAATCAGCTATCATATAGTGAATGCTTATCACGCAAACTCTCAGATGGATTTTGGCATCTTAGATTAAAAGGCAAAATAAGGGGCTCCTGGGTTGCTCGGTTCGTTGAGCATCCCACTTTGGCTAAGGTCACGATTTCACAGTTTGTGGGTTCGAGCGCGGCATCGGGTTCACTGATGTCAGTGCAGAGCCCACTTCAGATCCTCTGTCCTCCTTTCTCTGTCCCTCCCTTGCTTGGGGACACACACACACACACACACATACACACACACACACACACTCTCTCTCTCTCTCTCAAAAAAAAAAGACAAAAAGACAAATAAACGTCATTTTTGTTATGTTAAAGTGGGTTTGTGTACGTAAAGAACATGGCAAATACTATATACATATGAGTAGTGTTACTGTTACTTGGGTTCAGAAGACATTATGTCCTTTAGTCATTAAATAGACCAGAGCAAGAACATGACTATCATGACTGGCACCATGCAGTAACTATTTTTATATCAAAAAAGAAGATAAATTCCTGGCATCTACTGCTTCCAGTTTACTTTTTTAATAGTGTTTCCCTGATACCTCCACTCATGTACTTATTGTTGGGGGGAAGACATTTGGTGGAAGAAGTTGGCAGAAAATGGCTTCTCTTCCAGCAAATTCCTTTGGGTGTAGGAACCTATTGTCTGTTTCTACCTTTCATAACAGAACTCACATCCTTTCTTGACTAAAAGAGACTCAGGTCATGGCAAATAGTGTAGACAAAAGGGTGAGAGGTAAAGGTATCTCTGTCCATGCCTGTGTACACGTGTGTGTATGTGCGTGTGTGTGTGTGTGTATTTGTACACATGTGGTTGGTGGGGAAAACGATTGGCATGTAGGAGGGAAGTGCCTATATTGTTACTTGTTTTCACCGGCAGACACTGCCTAAAACATGTTTCTTCCTGCCCATGTGAGACAGCTTGGGTTTTTGAAAATGTGAGCGGGGATGAAATCTCCCCTCTGTGAACACAAACACAGCGGGAGGTGAATTCTGCGATGCTGACATCCTAGAAATTGGCACTGGTCACTTTTCTATGTGCCTTCACCGCTTTCACTCTGTATTTGTTTCCCTGTTTGCTTCCCTCACTGGCAGATCTATGTCTTGTTTTAGGGAAACGCTCATTTGGTTAGTATGTAATGGCTTCTGTAAGGGTTCTCTTGCCTAGAAAAATCTAATTGTCTATTAGATAGACAAGGAGGTCTATGTTTTATAGTATTGTATGATTAAGAATAAGTATGGGGACGCCTGGGTGGTTCAGTCAGTTAAGCATTTGACTCTTGATTTTGGCTCAGGTCATGATCTCACGGTTTGTGATTTCAAGAATCCACGTGGGGTTCCATGCTGAGAGTGCAGAGCCTGCTTGGGATTCTCTCTCTCTTTCTCTCTCTCGAAATAAATAAGTAAGCTTAAAAAAAAAAGAATAAGTATGCATTTTACAGTTAATTTTTTCTCAGCTATCAAGTGGGTTTTCCATCTCAGGTATTAAAAAATTGGACTAGAAAGAAAGGAATTAAAGCAGAGACAGGAAAAAAATAAAAAAATAAACTCACAAGATCTAATAATTTAAACAGCTATGCAAGGCAAACGTAGTTTCTTTCCTGCATAATTCATATTAGAACTTCTCAGCTGCTGATAGGATATGTATTCCAAGATATTTTCTCCTTGGCTTATACTTTCATCACAGGTATCTCTTGCTCATATAGTATAATAGCTTAATCCATCTCTATCTAAAAGTAAAATATTTCAAGTACTTTGGCAAGCTAAAAATGAACCCCTAATAGTGTGCATACGCCTGTTATTTCTGTATTTTTACACATAAAAGGCAGTTTCTGAAAATCAAAACCAAAATATTTACAAAGATATTATGTACCCATTACACATTTTCTTTGCAAATTGCAAAATGAAATTTTATTTTTTTAATTAATTTTTTTGATATTTTAATTCACTTTTGAGAGAGAGAGAGAGTGAGTGGGGTAGGTGCAGAGAGAGAGAGAGACAAGAGCATCCTAAGCAGGTTCCAAGCTGACAACAGAGAGAGCGATGCGGGGCTCGAACTTACGAACCATGAGATGATGACCTGAGCGGAAGTCCCACACTCAAACAATTGAGCCACTCAGGAGTCCGGAAAATGAAATTTTAAATGATAGCCAATTTGTTTGTTTCAAAATATCTTAGCTGAAACATAAAGGCACAAACTATTGATACAGCTTGCGTGGATCTTTTTTTTTTTTTTAAGTTTATTTATTTATTTTGAGAGAGAGAGAGGCATGTGTGGGAGGGGCAGAGAGAGAGAGAGAGAGAGAGAGAGAGAATTCTAAGCAGGCTCCACACTGTCAGTGCAGAGCCCTACATGGGGCTAGAAGTCATGAACCCTGAGATCATGACCTAAGTCAAAGTCAAGAATCAGATGCTTAATGGACTGAGCCACCCAGGCACCCCTAGCTTGTGTGGATTTGAGTGAACAATCCAATGGAAGAGGTACATACAGAATGATTCCGTGTATCTAGTGTTCTCACAATGATAGAGCTGGAGAAAAAGATCCATCAGAGATTAAGGAAGGAGAGAGCAGATCCCTCAGGGATAAGCCTGCCCCGGGGCAGCCTGAGGGAGTTTCTTTGCAGTGATGGTGGTGATGGCATGGACCTAGACATGATATGGTGTCACAGAATTACACACAAAAACATCTGCAGGAACAATGACTGCATTCAAAATCTGGCCAAATCCAAGCAAGTCCTGAATTCTACTTCATTGTGTGTAGTGAGTCAATGTCTGTTTTCCGATCTGGGTAATATATTGTCGTTAAGTAAGATGTTACTTTTGGGAAGACTGGGTGATAGGGACACAGGATCTCTCTGTACTATGATTGCAACTTGTGGGTCTATAATTATTTCAAAATATCAAGTTAGAAACAAATGCTTCTGCTGCAGAAAAGGTTCCAGCTGCTAATTAAACATACTTAGGAAGCAATTTAGTCAAGGACTGGTGTCCTTTCAAGGGGCAAGGCTTTTAGATGGGAACACAGATTCTTTAAAACAAAAATTTTTTTTAACATTTACTTATTTTTGAGAGACAGAGCATGAGCAGCGGAGGGGAGAGAGAGACAGAGAGATAGAATCTGAAGCAGGCTCTAGGCTCTGTCAGCACAGAGCCCAACGCAGGGCTCAAACCCATGAACCGTGAGACCATGACCTGAGTCAAAGTCAGACGCTTAAGGGAATGCGCCACTCATTCCATTCTTTCTTTTTCCTTGATTCTTTTTTTCTTCCTTCCTTCCTTCCTTCCTTCCTTCCTTCCTTCCTTCCTTCCTTCCTTCTTTCCCTTCCTTCCTTCCTTCCTTCCTTCCCTTCCTTCCTTCCTAATTTATTTCTGAGAGAGAGGGAGAGGCAGAGTGAACAGGGGAGGGTCAGAGAGAGAGAGGGAAACACAGAATCTGAAACAGGCTCCAGGCTCTGAGCTTGCTGTCAGCACAGAGCCTGATGTAGGGCTCAAACCCACGAATGGTGAGATCATGACCTGAGCTGAAGTCGGACACTTAACCGACTGAGCCATCCAGGCACCCCTCCCGATTCTTGAAGAGGTTAGTATCTGGTTCTGCGAGTGAGTCTTGAGCCATGTAACTTAAAGCAATGACTGATTTTGTGACTTGTATTAAAGTAGTAGCATCAAGAAATTTTAGAACGAGCAGAGATCTTACAGAGAATGTAGGTCAGACTTTCAGGTCACTCCTCTGGGTTTTGGGATCCTCATTTGTAATATGAGGGTTTTGTCCTTGATTCTTTGTGATTGTCTGCCTAGTTCTAAATTTTAGAACCCACCGTTTTACCGTAGCAACTACAGAAACTCCAATGGTGAACTTACACATTTTGCCTCAGTATTTAGTGCATGAGACAAATGTCTCAATATATGTTGATTGCAAATGTGGGTCCACAAACGACCTATTTATTATTTAACACTGTCTTTCAGATTTTAAACACTTGGGAGGGTAAATTACCTGGGCTTTACCACCTAGCTAAGTTTGAGAATCTTCCAGGAGAGAGGGTCTGAGGAGTTTCCTTGACATAATACACCGTTGTATATTCCTTGTACAAAATGTATGGTTTTTCTCCATTTGAAAGGGGAGGTTTATTTGGGTGAGTGTCTTCCCGTGTGTGCCCACCAGCCGCCCACCAGATTCCACCGGGGAAATGTGTGGCTCATAAAACTTCAGAAGCTTTAAAAAGGAGCCATTATCATTTGAAGGTAATGCTCTCTCAACAACCAAAGCAGTTTGGGCTTATTTACTCTAAATGTTAATCCCATTTCTTCCCAGAATGCTAAAGATGGATTAACTGGGGAAACTGAGCCCACTGTAAAACCAGGCTCTGGACCCCCCCAAGCTGTTCGGCCCAGAGACAGTGTGCATATACAGAAGGATCTCAATTTACAGCAATTGCATTTTGTCTTGTGGCATTGACTTTCCCCCATGTCTGTAACAATTCAAGTCAGAATCTTGCAAAAAGCAAGCGAAAACAAAACCAGCACCTCATGGCATTAGTGTCATCATTTTATTAACAAAAGGAACCCATGGGGTTCAAACCAGAGTACAAAATACAATCTTTATTATTTTTTCCTGTGGGTTAAATGGTTACATTTTTAATAATAAAAATAAAAAAGCTTTCATAGTTAACTTATCAAAAACAAAACCCCTGCCTATTGAGTTTCTTGTTGTGCAAAACAAAAATGTCAAAATTAAAGTTCTGCCCATGGAAGGGTTTTGTGTGCCCAAAGATGCACATTTTCAATTTCCCAATTTTTGCATCAAAAAGAAAATTCTAAGGCCACAGTTTCTTTGAAAACCAAACAACAGAATAAACAAGCAAATAGCAGCTACATTTTTATCTTCATTCCCAAGAATTCTGTTTCAATGTAGAATTTTCTACATTCAGAAAATAAGGTCTTGATTACAGAAAGGTAATGCAGTTTCAGCCTTACTGCTTAAGGTCAGGTATGCAGATACGAAATCAATAAGGCAAATCATACCTTTTAGCTACTCTTTTAAGTGCCACAAACTCAGCTGTGCTTTAATTCTGTGAACACTTCTCCTGATTTCTCTGATGCAGGGGACACAGCTATCCTGTGGAGAGCCAGCGACTTGGCTTTCCACATGGGGCCAAATAGCTAACCTTTCTCTTCCTTCATAACGCTTTGCTTGATTTCTTTCACTTTGTTTTGGTTAACATGGAGATGGAGTGTGTCTTGCTTGACAAGGCCTGTAAACTACAGCTTAGAAGTCAAGAAACAGTGGAAGATGGTCGTTTATTTTTTTTTTTAGTAAAAACAAAACTGTTTAGACATCACTTAAATACACATTACCTGTTTAAAAACATACAAAGAACAAAGCAAAAAAATAAAAATAAAAAAAAAACACACACACTAAAAACCAAAGCACAGGGAATAAAGTTCTGTGATGATTTCAGTACCACAATTGTAACAGTTTTGCACTGTGATTTGAAACAGTGGCTTGCAGTGAGAAAACTGCTGAGGATGCTGAAGATGCTCATGTGGTTAGAGAGAGGTATGTCCAGAAGGGTGAAGAAAAGTATGCATTTGCCTCATGCATGTAGAAAAATCCCTGATTGGAGGAGGGCCAACTAACTCTAAATACAAAACTTAACCTCAGATAAAGGACTTTTATACTCGCGACTGACTATACTGACGGAAAGAAGAGAGGACTCATTCCGGGGACTGAAGTTTGGCATTCTGCACGGGAAGCACCGGGGTTTCTGGGTGGAACCCGTAGAACGTGGAGAAAACCAAAGACCTTGGCTGGTCCCAAATCTCTCCCGTGGGAATCCCTACCTCCCTTCCGGGGATGTCTGGGGATGCTCTGGGCTCAGGAAACCAACAGATCAAAGGACAAGCAAATGAGCACGTGACCATGAAGAAGGGGGGTGGGGAGACAGGAAGAATACTGCTCAGACTTTTAGCAGCAACACAATCTTGTTGGTCGGAATATCCTGAGATTAAATGATAATAAAATATTGCACCAAAACAATAAAGAAAAAAAAAATCACAGTTTAAATAGAATTACTGAAGAATGGGAATAATCACATACAGCGTGCTGACTGCTGTCAGTAGACTGAAGTCTCTGGCAGGAATTATGTTTGTCTTTTCTGTTTTTTTTTTAAATGGTACCCTCAAACTTTGTACCCTCTTTTGATTCTGCATTTAGTTTGAAACACCCTTTGGTATACACATATTGACTTTCATTGAATGCTGACCTTACAGATGTTTCCCTTGGCCCACCTGCTGATTTAGTGATAGGTGAGATGGGATCATGACTGCCAATTAGCAGAAACTCCACGGAAGGCTTATCATGCCTGGAGTTTTGTAAGGATTCTGATAACCCCACTAGAGGTAGGTTAAGAAAGGCTTTTGTTGTTTTGGTTTTTTCTTTTCGTATTTTTTTTCTGTGTAGTTATCAAGGCATCCTGAGGATGCAACCTTTTTTTTTTTTTTTCCCTTTCTTTTTCTACTAATGATCCTAGGTAAGTAAGACACGGGGAAAATCGTCAAACACACATCCTAACAGAGTACTTGAAGGGGGTAAAAGGTACAGCCTTCAACAAAACGTGTCCTCACACTGGAATCCATCTTTCCCCTCTGGACGGACAGGCCTTGCACAGAACTCTTTCCTGGCTTCATAACACTGTGCAGCCAGTTTACAAAATGAGACTGCATTGCTTCGTTAGGGCCCATAGACAGATTCTCTCAAGGGCTTCAGTCCTACGGGACGTGGGGAGAAATCATGAAGACCCCGGCACGTTGAGGGGCCCTTCATATTTAGAGAGGGTCTTTTTCCTATTTGTGCCCACCTCTGTGCTGCTACCTTCTTCAAGATCAAGGCTCCCACCTAGTCCATAGTTCCTTAAAGCTTAGGGTAACTTCTGTTCCACCTGGAGAAACCTTTTTAAAGGTTTGCTCGTCTCATGTTCCCACTATCCACATAGATTCTGTTCTCCTGGGTCCAGCGCAGGCACCCTCCACTTACTCTCTCACCATCAGGACTTCCATTACATTCTGTGACTTGTCACATCTTCATTGGATCCTTTTAAGGGGACACATGACCCTGTCATAAATTTGTGCAACGCATTCTCGTCAGCCCACTGGAAAGTTCACGCATTCTTTAATTTCTATCACCTTCAACCTTGATGTTCACGTATGTTCTTATGCTCATCTTCTCTCCCTCTTTTCCATAAAGGCAGCGGGGGGGAAGAATCAACATTCTAATCTGATGATGAACACAGTGATTTCTGGAATTTTGTCAGAGAATGAAGGACACAGGCTGGGTCTCTTCTACATCAGTAGGATGTGGGTCAACCTGCAAAAACACACCGGACCGAGATGACTACTCCAGCACTCTACAAAGGATCTTAGTATCTATTTCTAATTATTGGTGGTTATAAGCCGAGCTGCTCAAAGCCTGTTAATAATAAGTCCCAGTGGGCCACTTTAGTTCCCCGTATTCTATGGCCACATAAAACATTTTAAGCGCAATCCATCAAGGCAACCATTACAGAATGAGGTAATCGCATCAGGGCTAATCTATCATCACCGGAAATTTTTTTTTTTTTAATATGTATCCCCAACTAATTAGGAATCAGCAGCAGATACTACAAAGGACTATTTACAAACAGCAAGCAAAAAGTCTCATTGTGTCTTGCTTACCTCTGAGTAAAGAGGTGGAGGCTGAAAGCGGAATTCCTGTATGCAGGCAAACATAGGACAGCATGTTTCTCCCTCGCAGTCAGGGGGCTGAGGATAAGGAGGGACGTGTCGAGAGAATTCTTCCTCGGACACCACGTCTGCATAATTTGGTGGCGCTAAAACACAAATGGGAGTTGGATGTCGGAAGTCCATGCAAAATCAAATATGTTAATGTCTTCTGAACTCTTACCAAAACCAGAAATGTAGCTAAATTAGAAATGTAGCTAAGACAATGCTTTTTTTTCCTCCCCCCTCTAAGGACTGAGTTTTCGTGCTTATTACAACAAAACATATGTAATCAATTCAGGTTTTGTGAAATCACTACGAACGTTTATTATGTTCTATTTTGAGACGTGGATGTTACGGTGCAGGTAAAACATATCTGCAACAGACGTGGTTGCAAAAAACACGTTGTACCCTACATTCACCTGGACCATTTTCCCTGTCTTACTGCTGATACACAGGAATCAGGAAAAGACTTGATTCCTGGCTCTGCCATCTGCAGCTCTATGCCCTGGAGAAGCCAAGCTCTCTGTGTCCCTTCCGGTAGCACGGAATTTTTAGTACTCGGAAGTGTCAGGGCCGCTGTAATGGCAGTAGTAATGGTCATCAGAGCACTTCCAGTCTGACCCCGCCTGCTCTTGGCCTACGTGTGAACTTCACGCTAAAAGCACCTCTGCCACCGTACCTTCTGGCTGCTCTGGGAGTGTCAGCGTCAGCCAGCTCATGTCCATGCTGAACTGGCTAGTGGTGCTGGAGTTCCGGCTGCCGAAACCGTTATATGGGATTGTGCCAATCACCAGGGGCAGCTCGAGCATCAGTTTTTTAGCACCAGGAATGTGAATATATACCTAATATGGCAAAAAAAAAAAAAAAAAAGGAGAGAGAGAAGGGCACAAATGTAAGTTAAAGCTCACTGTAGATGGACCAACCTATGTTTTCACAGAAGCAAATCTCTCCGTTGGCTGCCACTGCTCCCAGTACCACCGTGAATCATCCTGACCAAATGTAATGAAGAATAAGTCAAACAAAGGGCAGGCAAAATACAGAGAACGCTCTGTGATGAGGGACCGCAGCCCTGACGCCCTTCACTGCACGTGAGCACGGCTTACACGTCATAGCTATGGAAAATGAAGCGTATGTTCTCAGTATAACCAGCCCCCTTAATGCACCTGAACTCTTTCATAGGACTTAATTAAATGCCATGGGGGGATAGTTTGTCATTAAAAGCAAAGGCCAGCCTTCATGACTCCAGTGTCGGGATGCTGACCTAAATGACATTCTGCCACGTACACGTTCATGGCAACATGGCACCAGTTACTGCTCCATTCTACATACTTTTCATTTTAAGAAAGGGCTCCGGAACACAGGGAAAAGGAGGCAAAAAAAAGATAAAAACAGAGAGGGAGACAAACCATAAGAGACCCTTAAATACAGAGAACAAACTGAGGGTTGCTGGTGGGGTGTTCGGGGTGGGGGAAGGGCTAACGGGGTGACGGGCACTGAGGAGGGCACTTGTTGGGATGAGCACTGGGCGTCGTATGTAAGTAATGAATCACTAAATTCTACTCTTGAAACTAACACTACACTGTATGTTAATTAACTTGGATTTAAATTAAAAAGTAAAAACTAAATAACCTTTAAAAAATATATGAAATAAAATCAGCTCTGCTTACAGCTAAGGAATAGTCTACTCTGATAATGCAGCAGTCCAGGATGGACGGAGTGACAGGCGGGATTTTGAGAGTCTTCCCGTGCCACGTGTCAGTGCTCCCAGAAGCAATATGGTTTCCTCTCACGTTGGCGACCATGTGCCGGACGCTCTTTGTCTTCCCGCTGGCCAAATACGTCTGGGTTTGGAAAATAGCAGCTTTGGGAACAATCAGGCGAGAGGAACAATTCTCTATCTCCGCATAGATGGGAATAGCTTCTCCTAAAAAGGAAGCAAAAACACCTTCAGAGACTTTTCAGGAAGTTCTTACCATGGTGAACTAGAGCCATTAACCACCTAAAGCTGAAATGCCACAGCGTTACTGTAACAAATTGAGATCTCTGAAGGAAAGCTTGAATTGTAAATCTGCATCAGAGGATCCAGGAGTCCCGGTGGCTCAGGGTAGATACCGCTTTCTAATTATCGCATTATTTGCTTTTCTAATGTAGCAATATTAGGCTGCCAGTTCTAAAGATATGTAAATGGCCAGTGTCTATGCAAATTAAGATATACCAAGAAATGGGCCAACAGTGTATAAAGTACAAAAGATCACAAACAAACTCCCTAGTGCCTATCGAAATCTGCCTAACAGGAGAACAAAGACTTTGTTTTTAAGGAACTAATGTTAAGGCACAAATAAGACAGTGGATGGAGCAGCAAATTTTACACCCACCATCACACCATTCTGTACCACCTTCGCTTCCAGGTGGCCGAGCCCTGCAGTGGGGGCCAGAGCCACCAGACGGAAGGGGACCCTTCACAAATGGTTGTGCCACTGGCAATCTGACTGTTCAGACTGTCCTTGTCCCACTGTCTAGCCCCCCTATGTCGGGATACATGTTCCCGGAGTTTCCTACAACAGTGCTCTTCTGAGCCACACCGCCCTGGAAACTCTTTAGCAACACCAAGTAAAATGCTGGCATTTTCCCATGCTTCTAATTTTAGACCTTGCCACTCAAGCAAAAGCACTAAAGTAAAAAATGCCAGGAGTTTCACTGGAATCTAGTCATCCACTCAAAAATACTTAAATATCAATTATTTATATGAAAAACGGACAACTGTATTGTTCATGTTTTAAAACAGCATATACTTCGTAAGTTACAAAACACACTATTTAAAATCACTTGCAATTAGCTAATAAGATGAATGATTTTTCCCTGTGGACTTTCAAACCCTCTGCTTACCATTACAGTATCCCTTCCTTTCAATTTTGGCACTCAGCGAGACGGGACCAGAAGTGAAAAACCAACAGCCGACCATTTTCTCTTGGGTTTTCAACACAGGGGTCTTGAAAATTGCAAATAATAACATGACTTTAATTAAACCAGCAGAAAATTCACAGAACTTAAAATCATGTCATTCTTTATTAAATAATTGTAAAGAAAGGTCTTCTAAAACACACACCAATACTTTTATCCTCATGTGACAGACTAGGCAAAATACTTACTAAAACACAAAGCATTAAGAAAAATCATTCTCTTTTTAGGAGGACTCAGGTGAATTCTCAGACTCAAAATAGGTGACACCATCCTGGTTTACCCTGTGAGTCATTATGTTTCTGGGAAATGATCTAACATCCCTTAGAGTAGTAATCAAAAACAGTCTTCACTACTAACATGACAAAGATACTTGTACTTTCCTTTTTAAAAATTTTTAATGTTTACTTTTGAGAGAGGGAGAGACAGTGTGCGAGTAGGGCAGGGGCAGTGAGAGGGAGACACAGAATCTGAAGCAGGCTCCAGGCTCTGAGATGTCAGCACAGAGCCTGTCATGGGGCTCGAACTCATGAACCATGAAATCATGTCCTGAGCCGAAGTCGGATGCTCAATTGGCTGAACCACCCAGGCGCCCCGATACTCTTTCTTTTAGAAAACTTGCATGTATACTAGGGGAAAGGAGAAACGGTATAAAAATCAATGATCAGAATGTTGTATTTGTTTTGGGATCGAAAATGCAGAACAAGCAAACAGCCTTTCTCCTGAATTCAGAAATGCATTAGTAGGCGGAAATTTCAAGTGCCCTTAACTTTGAATGTTTTTGGGTTTAGTGTGATGGAAGCAAAGTAAATGCACTGTCCTGGATGTGCAAGGTTACTGAACATACCAGCCTGCTCTCTATTCTACGGCATCAACAGAAATGACCCAAGATTTAAGATGCTCGGTTTGAAAGACGCACTAACCAAAAGCTCACCGTAAAACCCAAAGCTGTAATATTTTTTACTTATAAAAAGAATATCGACGGATTACTAGTTTCTTTTCTTTGGCAAAAAAATAAAATCTCTTTACATCATTTGCCACCACGGTCCCATGAATAGTTTAGAAGTACTAACTTTCCAATTCCAAATAATTTTTAAAAATACAAGACAGTATTATCGATTTGCAAAAACAAAACAAAACAAAACAAGCGATCAGTGGATGGATGGTAAATTACAGCTGTAATGAGTTATCCCAGGTCAGCTGGATAGGATTGTTCTACGACTTTGGCCACAAGGGGCCAAGCAACCAGGGCATAACCATTATATTTTCACATTCTACAAGTGTACAAACAGGAAAGTCTATTCTATTTTCATATGAAAATAGAGTAAAACACCTTCTCAACTCCTGGGTTTTTTTTCCCCCCCTTTCAAAACACTGGCCAGAAAAAGAAATCCCCAATATTAAACATACATGTTTGGAACATCAGTATCATGATGGGAAGTTTAAATTATCCCAGTATTTTCTAGGAAGTATAAAAAAAATCATTCATTCATATTTAAATGAAGACCACTAGGTCCTCATAGCTATCATGCAAGTACAAGGTATAATTTTATATTATTTTGATAATATGGGTTTAGATAAAAGAATCTAGCTCATTAGCTCCCATCTTGCCTAGTCTGTTGTTACTTATGGCCTAATCTTTCTTATCAGCCTACAGTATTTCTGGTGATTATTAGAAGTTCAATGCTTTAATGTGGCCAAATCTGTCATAAGGAAATGATAAGTGAAAGGCTCCCCACAGCAGCTGCGTGCACTTACTTAATGGTAGAAAATGGCATGCAAAATGGAAGGATACATAGCATAATGGCCTGAGCTTCAATAACAGGCTGAGCATGATTAATACTCTTCCATAATTACTGTTCCTCAACCTGCTATTATTGAAGAGTTTAGAATACCACAGCCCTGTGAATGTGGCCGCTCTGGTAAAAGTAACCACTCTCTGTGTGTGCATTATTATTATTAAGCCTTATTAATGCATTTCAAGCCTGTATAACTTTTTGGCAGAAGAAGCCCCGAACAACGGAGACATAATCAATAGTATTAACACACACAAATTGTAATTTGCCCGGCCTGGAATCACACATTTATAGTGAATGCCCGTGGGTTACAAGATCGTATCAGAAAGGGACAGGACAGAAGACCACTAAACTGGCTTCACGTACATAGCGCAACTTGAAAGGAAGGAGGAACAGAAGAAGGAAGGACTTACTAATAATGCTGGTGTGTTGACATCGATGTGACTAATAACCTGGAGTTCCCGCTTCACGCTCTGATCAGGTACCTTGGGTCGTTCCAAAACGGCTCTCACGCAGTACTGAATACTTCCATATTTCCCGCTGAATGAGGTCACTAAAGGTCTGAAACAAACCAAAGTAGAAGTTCACCTTTTGGTTAGACACAACTGGAAAAAACCCTGAAAATGTTGATTTTGGCTTAAAAAAAGAAAAAAGAAAAGGGTGTGAACAGGGTAAGTCTATCCAGGGGCCATGCACGATAGACGGATGTAGCGGAGTGTCAGAAGGTGCTGGGTGGGCACCCACATGTCTGGAGGGGCAGGTTGCAGGGAAAGAGAATCACGGAGATAATAGGGTTTCACTTACTCAGATGGAAGCTGAAACCTAAATGGAAATTCATGTTTTCCAGGCTGCAATAAGATGATGCCTTCGCCTAAAAAAGAAAATACATTTGAACTAAGATTAGTATTAGATCAAGAATTTTCACAACATAAATCGTGTTTTTTTTAAAGGAGGTTTTCCTGGCTGTAACGTTCAGTGTACTCCATAAAGTACATTAAACTGAGATTTAGAAAATTGAAATTTGAATCAGTCTACTAATTTTAACCAATTTCAATGTATGTATATGTGTGTGTGTGTATGTGTATATATATATATGTGTGTATATATATATGTCTTCTATCTTTCAAGAGAGCAATCACACAAGTAACCACCATAAAGTGTCAGAGCCCAGAGTTCCCATATACATATATATGTGAACACATGGGCATGCATGTACGTGTATACATATACATACACACGTTTACCCTACTCATAAAGTAGCACAAGTATACTACCATAATATCAGTACTAACATACACCAATACTATGATGCTAACATTATAGTATACCATTATGCTAACATGAGATAGCAGTATTAAATTGGATTTAAAACTGATTTAGCAAAAAATACATCTATTTATTTTGGACATGCCATAAAAATCAGATTCTGTATCCCTTGGGCAAAAACGGAAAAAGAAGGTGAAAAATTTCCTTGGAAAATTATGAATATTGAGTATACGAAGCAGCCAAACCAACAGGACAACTTATTAGGTAAGAGCCCTGCATTCACACGTAAGCTCTGCTGATTAGCAGGTGGCTAGTTTAAGTTCACGGGCTCGGCCAAGCACCAGCATGCCTCCTTTCTCCTGCTCTGGGCCCGGGTCGGCCAGCTCCACCGAACCTCACACAGAGGCCTTTCCCTGCTTGTCAGAAGGCCAAGTCGCAGGATGGATGGACCCTGCGAGGCCAGAGGCTCTGCTGGAGCTCCGCTGAACACACAGTCTGCGTCCCTCGCGTCCAAAGCCAACTCCGGGGCTGTCATGTGGTCAGACAGCTCTGCAGAGATCTTTATAAACTTTCCCTTCCTTTTATGCTCATCCGTTCAAATTGAGGACTAAATTCCCTCATCAAGAGTGGCCTGATTAAGACAAAGAAAGGGATGAGAGGAGAAGTCTCTCTGAGATTTGCCTGTCAGCTGATACTCAAAACAGAGATTTCTACTGTATCCATTTATTTAAAAAAAGAATTGAAGGGCTAGTGAAATGGATTTTTCCCCCACTTACTTACTAAAAACAATCCAGTTAACATTTCAACCTGGTCTTTTTAGAAAGCAGGAATGCATTATTGGCCCATTTAGTCTTCTGAATCTGTCCCGTTTTCAGTGTGAAATGTATGAGGGGCAAAATAAGTATAGTATTTTCCACGGAAAGTCGTTCACATAGACATACTACACAGAGTGGGTGACTTGGAGGCAGAGTGAACGAGTGACAGGAACGTGAGTCTATGTTAAAACAGCAGTGACTGAGATAGTCCCCAAGGCTCAGGTGTGCCCAGAGACACAGCAGTGCTCCAGCACCAGATGCTAGGGAGGCCTCTCCAATTCACTGCTATCGAATAATAAAAGACTCAAGACAATCCCAGTGCTCGGGACAGAGGTAGACTACAGTCCAGGTGCATCAGCATTACATTACTGGAGATGATGATTCCAGTACTTTGCAATGTTTACAAATGTAGATTTCAGGAGTTCAAAATGTATAGTGCTTAGATGTCAGGAGCTATGGACACACAGATGAGGAACAGCACTGTCACACAGACCAGGGGAGGAAAGGAGGCCACAGACACACGCACCCAAGTAGTGACCACACACTGGCGGAACCTGGAGAGGGATGATGCCTGCCCCGGACCTGAGGGTTGGCGCGGACACGAGCAGGACAGGGTTTTAGATGAAGGAACAGCAGGAGGCAGAGCACAATGGGCATGTGTGGAGAAGAGGGTTACCCTGGATATTCAAAAAGGTTAAGAGATAAAGTTCTCTCATCACAGGCAAAACAAATCCACACAGGAACTTTAACATTTAAAATGAAGACTCTCAATCACCTCCATGCATAAATAGGAACAAAAATCGAGAGGGCTGATAAACATAGGTATTAGTATTTGGAATCAAATCTTAGTTTTCTTCCTTCCTTCCCCCCTCTCTCTCTCTCTCTCTCATTAAAGCGGTTTACAAGCTGAATCATGTGCCCATTTATGCTTCAGTTCCCTTGGCCCATTACACCTGCCTCATGCAGTAAAGACTACAATTTCACAGAGAGGTGTTCCCTTCACCAATGATCTTACAAGCCCAACCAGCCTCCTAATTCAGGGCTCCCAGGAGCCATGGGAGCTAGAGTATCACCACAGAGTCAGAAGGTTCAGGAAGGATGAGGGACTCCCACAAGGACATACTGCTGGTGGGTGACCAACTGAAACCACCTCCCTGGTCTGTCTGGTCTTTCTACCACAATTCCTCAATTAAAAAAAAAAAAAAAGAGTATCGATCACAATGGCAGTTAGATCAGTTAGATTTAACAATGCCAAACAATTATCTGAAAATAGATCTCATAGACACATTTCTCCCCAATCCAGAGTTCTAAAAAAATCTCTTCAGGTGATTGGAATTCACCTAGGTTTTGGAATTGAATGACCCTGAGAATCTATGACTCTGTAACGTTGCTAACCACTTCCAAGCTACAGATGTTGGGATTTTTGTTTTTGTTTTTTTTCTTTTTCTCAATGAGATCACCTTAAAGAGACTATGATTTTAGGGGTACCTGCCTGGCTCAGTTGGTGGGGCAACTGACACTTGATCTCAGGGTTGTGAGTTCAAGCCTCACATTGGGCATGGAGCCTACTAATAAAACCAACAAAACGGATTATTATTTTTATTTTTTTTAATTTTAAAATATTTATTTCTTTTTGAGAGGGAGAGAGAGAAAGAGAGAAAATGAGTGGGGGAGGGAGAGAGAGAAAGAGAGGGGGGAACAGAGGATCTCAAGTGGGCTCTGTGTGTGGGGCTTGAATTCAGGAACTGTGAGGTCAGTTCCTGAGAAGAAGTTGGACACTTGACAGACTGAGCCACCCAGGCACCCAACAGATGATTTTTAAATAAAACTTACTTTTTGCCAATATTTGTTATGCTACCTTTCAAAAGAAGTGAAAAATGTTTCAGGTTGTCTAGGCTTAGACATTCTATTCCACCAGAATGAAAAAGCAAGATCTAACTCGTGACTCAAAACACTGTTAGACCAGATTTCACCAAAGCAATTCTTGGTGCTATTTCCAGGTCCAAGTGCTATTAATGTTATTATCCATTTACTCAGTAGTTATGGGCCAAAGATACAGAGGGTCCAAAGTCCTGGGCAAAAACCACTTTACTTCTCTCTTCATGACCCTTGCCTCTAGTCAGCCATCTTGAAAATCTGTACTGTCTCTGACCACTGGGGGAGGCGTGTGTGGGCAGAGCATGGAAACCATACTGAGAGGGTCACCAACACAATGCACTTGCGAATCCAAAAGAAGCCTTTGGTTCCAAATATATTTTTTCCTCACTAAAATACTTGGGGTCACTGGGTTCTCATATGCTTTGAGGATTTAACTGAGAACAGTCTACTTCTCCATAGGAGGACAAGGCAAACTGCACATACTACTGACTTTGTAGAAGACACCGCAAGGGTCAAAACAGTGACGTACTGCACTTGACTCTTCAAGGGAGGAGAGTTTATACCATCCGCTATGTATAAGCTGAAGCTGATAAAAGCATAAAAGTGAAATAGTGTAAAGTAGCTTCCACCAACTGCATGAAGACCAAGGTTCACTGTTGCTAGTAGTTTCATGATTAAGAAAAGCAACTTTTGCATATTTATTATAATTATATAAACTCTGACATTTATATATACTATATAGATAGATGGAACAGATAGGTAGCGGGTTCCCGCTTCTGGAAAAAACTAGATATTAACTGGACTTCACAAGAGTGGACAAGAAAGGTAATTCTTCCTCCAGAAGCTCTTACAATGCCCAGATCCCACTGTCTCTAAAGGTGGCCTTTAAGAGAGGGGGTGGGGGCGGGGGGGGGGGGGAAGGGATGTTGCAAAGAAAACAAAAAGAAGCAAAGAATAAAAGACAAAGAATATAGGGAGGAGAACTCTTAAGTTACCCTGCTCCCAGACGAGGGAAACTAAGTATGATGCTCAGGAAACACTTCCTCTGAATTCCTACAGCTCGAGAACTACTTCCCTCTTCCCAAGACAGGTTTTGCTAATTCATCATGAACCGAGAACGAGCGTCTCCGTCCAGAACGGGAAGAAGGGGACGCCCAGAAAACAGTGGGCACCCCAGCATGGCCCCTCAAAGACGGATTCCGCCCCCCATTCCTCAGGCCAGGAGGGGCAGGACCCAGATCCCCAGAACCTCGATTTCTGACTGCTCATCACCGGTTCCCATGGCAACGGTTCACTCCGGGGACGGTCCTGGAAGGTCCCAGGACGCTGGGCGCCGGTCAGGCCCAGGCGAGCCGAAGACGAGGCGCCAGGTAGAGGTGCGCACCCCCCACGCGAGATCGCCCCGGTGCTTTGAAGTGGGGGGGGGGGGCACGGGCATTGTTACCTGCCCGTCACCAGCTACCCAAGTGAGGCTCCAGCCACCGGGTGGGCGGACCCCAGCCGCGGATCCCACCCCCGCCCCATGGCTAGTGGGCTTCCGCCGGCGCGCGCCCCCCTGGTTCCTAGCAGCCCCTCTGCGGAGCCTCCCGTGGCCCGGCGGGGACTCCGGGGTCGTTGCCCTCGCTCACCGGCCGGGGGCTCGCGCAGGTTCAGGCGCACGTTCAGGTACTCCACCTCCGACGCGGCGGCGGGGGCGGCGGCGCCGGGGCTCGGGCCCCAGGCGGCAGTGGCTCGGCCGTGGGCCTCCAGGCGCAGCGCGCGCAGGGCCACCGGCTCGGCCGCCTCCAGCAGCACGTGTCCCGCTACCGTCTCGCCGCTCGAATAGCAGCCTTTGCGCTCATCCTCGAACACCAGACCCAGGATCTTCACGCGGCCCTCGGAGCCCAGGGCTGCCGCGGACCCTGCCTCGCCTCCCATCCCGCCGGGCGATGCGGCCGCGCCAGGGACGTCGGCAGCTGTCCGAAGCCGGCGTGGCGAGCAGAGCGGCGCCGCTGTCACGGGCGCCCGCCGCACGCCTAGGGCCCCGCGGCCGCTGTGCGGTACCCGGTGGAGCCCTAGCGCGCCGTGGGGCCTGTCGCTTTAACAAACCCAGGTGGGACTGGTAAGGGGCTGGGACAGCCCACCCCCGGCGCGCGCCCATAGGCCGACTGTGAGCCCCGCCTGGTGCCGATTGGTTGTAAACGGCTACCGAGTCATTTCATAGGCTCTCCCACGCACCGGATGGCGCAGGTAGGCCGTGCGTGATCAAGCAGTGGTGACCAATCGGGATACGCAGGCGTACACGTGCACAGGCCGCTTATTGGCTGGAGCAGGGCACAGTCCTGGGGTACTGACCAATAGTAAGGCGGTGCGCCCATGTGGACAGATAGTGGGAAACAATATTTGTTAGGGAGGGGGCGGAACCGGGAATCTCCGGCTTGCGGAGAGTCAGCCGTTCCCATGGTTACGAACGGGGGCGGGGTTTCTGGCTGTGTGGGGAGTGTTTGCAGAAGTCTCAGGGTTCGTTCTAGGATAGGAAGTTTCGGCTGCAACTGCCTTGTATTTATGATTTAATCAGGATTTAATACTCGTGGGGGGAAATATATGCCCTGGAAAATGTAACTCAACGATAAGTTTCTTGTGACCTTTGGGGGGCGGCTGCCTGGAAGCTTTAATGGGAAACTTGGCAACTACTAACCTCCAGGTTTTCGACCCCCGACTCTCCTGGGTTTCGGAATTCACAGACTGAGAAAAAACCTAGACTGGAAGAATGAAGTCTGTAGAACGATGGCTGTGATTCTCAACCTCGTACAAACCCTAAGGAGTTCTTCTGGGCTCACGACCTTTCCAAGCTGGGAATAGCCAAAACAGTGATTCTTCCTGCTATAAGTAAGAGTATGAATCAGGTTGTTTCTAAACAATATATGCTACCCAAGTTTCTGCTCCACCCGAAAGGATTTCGTGACCTCCGTGTCAAAATCCAGAAAACTTCCAGTTGCTTTGATGACTTGTTCTCCACACCTACGGCTCCTTTCGCCTGTCCTCGTTTCATTTTGTTCTTACTCAATTCTTTCTCTATTCTCTCTCTCTCTGTCTCTCTCTGTCTCGTCTCTCTGTCTCTCCTTCTCTCTCTTTTTACCATCTAGCATAGCTGACGCTATCTGGCCATTTACTAACCCATTTAAGTTCTTCCCTTATTAAATTTCCAAGTTTGTGAGCTGTTATCACAGATTGATCTCGTATTGAGATTTAGAATTATTTTTTTAATGTTTTTTTATTTATTTCTAGGAGAGAGAGAGAGACAGCGTGAGCAGGGGAGGGTCAGAGAGAAAGGGAGTCACAGACTCTGAAACAGGCTCCAGGCTCTGAGCTGGCAGTCAGCACAGAGCCCGACGCCGGGCTCGAACCCATGAACCGTGAGATCATGACCTAAGCGAAAGTCGGAAGCTTAACCAACTAAGCCACCCAGGCGCCCCTCTGGTATTGAGATTTAAAACCTTTCCTGAAGTAGCTCTTCCTTCCTCCCTCCCTCCCTCCCTTTCTCTCCCTTTCCTTCCTCCCTTCCTTCCTCCTTTTTCTTTCTTAATTTCTTTTCTTTTTCTTTTTCTCTTTCCCTCCTTTTTTCCTTTCTTTCCTTTTCCTTTTATTTTCTTTCTTCCCTCTTTCTGTCTCTCCTTTTCTTCCTTCCTTTCTTCCAAAAGAAAAGATGCTGTACTGCTTTCTTTGAGTTTAAGTTATTTATATGGAACTTTACTAAGGCTTTACAATTTCAAAGTGTCTTTATCTCTTCTCAAAGAAATCAGGAAAGGCCACAAATCTCTGTATAAAGTTATGAAATAGCTATTATTTTCTGATCATTTTATCTAGAAGAGTCCCCAACATGCTATTATTTGGGCACTTTTCTTTATAACACAACCTGCCCTTATATATTTATTTGTATATTGTTTATCACCCCTGTTTAAGGCACAGAACTTATTCTCCTTATTGTTGTACCTCTAGCACCTAACAGAGCTTAGGACACAATCAGCACTCAATAAATGTTTGTTGACTTGATTGAATAAATGAATCCTAACTCATACAGTATTATTTGGCTCTGCAATAAGTGTAAAGTACTCTATCTCTTACTCTCGTCTATCTTCATTCCCTCTAGGCAGATATTCTCCATCTCTCTCCCTTCCAAATTAAGAGGCTGAGAAAGGAGGAAAGGATAATGGCCTGAATAGTTCTCAAAAGGCAGAACTGCATGTATGACATTCTATACTGAGGCTGTCTTTACTCATTTGACAGCTAATAAAACTTTGAGTACAGGTAGCAGAATGCATGGCCAAACATTGACTTAAACAATAGGTGTATTTCTTGTGTACTTGACCAGAAGTCCAGTAGCAGGTGCTCTCAAGGTTGGTTCATCAGACCCCTCTTATCTTCCTCCACTGCCATATTCATCTCCCTCCCTGGTGGCAGTGGTTACCACAGATAGTAATGTATTTGGTGACCCACCTCATTCACAGATAAAATTTCATTTTTGTTGTGCATACATTATTATGACTACTCAAGTTTGGCTAACATTAATATAGCAGCATATAGCATATTAAAAAATAAAACATCCAATTTGATAGTCCCTGTCATTTAATTTGTGTGTTTAGACCATTTACATGCAATGTAATCTTTGATATGGTTGGTTTTTTAGATGTATCATCTTATTATTTTCTTGATTTGTGCCTCCCTGGTGGCATGTATGTTTCTCTGTTCCCCCTTTCCTGCTTTCTTTTTAATTATTTGAATGTCTTTTAGTAATCCATTTAAATTTATCTATCAATTTTCAGACTCTTTGTAGTATTTTTTAAGCAGTTTCTCTAGGGATTATCATGCCTCTTTATGTCATAGTTGGCATGTATATTACATCCACATATATTGATAACTCTACTAGACTATGTTTAAATTTTTGCTTCAGATAATTATATATATTTTAAACAATGCAAGACAAAAACAGTCTATTACAATTACCCATATTTATCATTTCTGTTGCTCTTTCTTTATTCTGAAGTTCTAAATTCCCTAAGAAATTCTAAGTTCAGGAATTTCCTTTAGCATTTGTTTTAGAGAAGGCCTGTTAGGAATGAATTCTTTTAGTTTTCCTTCTTCTGAGAATGTTTTCATTTTGACATCATTATGGAAGGACGTGCATGCTGCATATTTAGTCCTGAGTTGGAAATTCTTTTTGTATTTTACAGATGTGATCCCATTGTCTTCTGAGAACTTTGGTTTCTAATGAGAAACCAAACAGTTGTTCAAATTGTTGTTCCTGTATATATAATGGGTTATTTTTTTTCTGTCTGCTTTCAATATTTTTTCTTTATCTTTAGTTTTCATAAATTTGATAAGTTAGTTTCCTTTGAGTTTATTTTGTTTGGAGTTCTTACAGATGTATATTTATGTCTTGAACTAAATTTATGTTTTCTGCCATATGCCTTCAGATTTTTTCCACACCAATCTCTTTCTTCCTTCCTTTTGGGACTTATATATTATGAATACTAGATCTTTTTGATACTGTCCCATGGGACCTTGAGACTCTTGAGTTTCTCACTTTTTCCCCCTCTCTCTTATAGAAATTGGGTAAATTCTATTGATCTGTTTGCAAGTTCACTGACTGTTTTCTTTGTCACCTTCATTGTATTTTTGAGATCATCCAATGATTTTTTTATATCAGATATCATATTTTTCAGTTCTAAAATACTCATTTAAAAATAGTTTCTGTTTCTATGAAAAGAACATCCATCTTTCCATTCATAATGAGTGTCTGCCTTTATCTCCTTGAGCATGACTATAATAGTTGCTTAAAGATCTTTGAAAAAAAATTGATAGCTGGGTAATCTTGAGTTTGACGTCTGATTATCTACTCCCTTGAGAATCAGTCACAGTTTCCAGTTTTCTGTATGTTTAGGAATTTTAGATTATATCTTAAATATTTTGAATATTATGTTACATTAAAATCTTCTGGAGAATGTCAACTATTTTCATTTAATGGATACTGGACTCGGGTGTGTTCATACTGTTGTGGACTCACCTTATGTGAGCAGAGTTTCCAATGTCAGGTAATTTCTCAAATCCTTTGCTCTCCAGCCATGGGTCTTATCTGCACATGAGCAGCTCAGAATGAGCTCAGAACTTGTGTCCATTCACACACAGAATTAAGGGATACTCTTCTCCATTTCTTCCCTCTTCATCATTTATCCCATTTTCTATGGCTTCTAGGGGCCCCTTTCCTCTGTGTAGAAATTTACTGTTTCTCTGAAAGTGTTAGCTGCACACGCTGCTGAGTAGTTTTGTGCATCTGGAATTACCCTCAAGGCAAAACAGTGAAGGGGATAAAGAGAAAAAAAATACAAGGATCTCCCTAAACTCTAGACCTCAGGGTCCTCTTTTCACATTTTCTCTAGCCAGAAAGCCAAATTTTCTCCTTGAGTTTTAGGTGGCATCAGTATGACTACCTCCTTGCAGCCCCAAGACCAGAGCTTGCTCTTGGGGCAGAGCAGAAGAAAATAGAAAAAAGAAACAAATCTATATGAGTCCATACTGACATAAGTAAATGATTACATAAATAAATAAATGGAGGAGAAAAGACAAATCTTCCTTATAGAAGAATTCCCAGTAAGTGATATAGATTCTTTTCTCCTCTTTCTCTCCTTGACTTTGCACCAGACTTAGCGATTTGTCTCCAACCCAGCAAACACTGTTTTAGCCAGATTGGCATCATTAGCTATAAATGATAGCATGCACCTTTGATAGGATATCTTTAAACAGCACATCACTTCCTTTGATATTTTTATCGTAACCAATAACTCCAATCTCAGCATGAGCAAAAGATCAGCATACTCAGTTTGAGGAGCATTTTCCAAAAACACCTGATAAGTACTGCTCAGAACTCTCAAGGAAAGACTGAGAAACTTTCAGACATGAGACTAAATGCAATGTGTTTCCCTGGATTGCATCTTGGGACAGAAAAAGGACATTAGTGGAAAATCAAGTGAATCCAAATAAAGCCTGGAGTTTAGTGATAATAATGGACAGGTAATGATAAATGGTAACCGTACCAATTAAGTTTCTTAGTTTTAAAAAATGGATCATAGTAATGTAAGACATTAACAAGGACCAAGTTCAGACCCAAGGTATTCTATGTTCCCAGCA